AGTGAAGAGCTAGGAATAACCCCTGTGCATCACTGGGTGTGACCCAAAAAGAAAAAAAAAGATGATCTGTCTTGCCTGTGATCTCAGAATGAGCTCAAGATTCTCTTTAGGTGACCCAGACCTGCTTTGCAAAATAACGTGCTTGGAAAATTCTGCTCCTGTACTCTCCCACCGGCTGCCTGCAAATGATCAACCCCCCACCAAATATTCTATAAATAGGTGCTCTCGCCTTTGTTCTGAGCCCATGTTCCAGCCCTCTGGAACACGAGTTGAACTGGGTCTGCCAGTGAAGTAAACAGTGCTCTCCCCCTTTTCAAAAAGTACTGCTTGGTTTTTCACTGGCTGTTGGTGGAAAGCTCTGCAAGACTTTTGAGGTAGATCATTGTATAGGAAGGTCATCAGAGTATAATTCTACAGAATGTCAAATATACCCAGCTGTATCTCTGTTCTGGGGTATATTTTTGGGTGTATGTATATAATAGGCTGTTAAAATACTTGTATAGAGTATTGAATATACTTTAGGACTGAAAGGACTTTAAGATCATTTTTGAACTAATTCTTTTCTTATATATTTTGTTGATATTTGAGCTACTCTGCTTGATTGATGATTTTCAGGAAAAGATGAATAATTGTTTATCGTGTCTGTTCAATTCTAGACCTTTGGTGAGATTCTTTTTAAGTCTTATTTTTTTTGTCATCTATAGTTTTTCAGGGTAGGTTTACAATTTCCATTTCACAAATTGAAAAACAGAAGACCAGAAGTTAATATCACTTACTTACTGGACTATATTCAATGAATAGAAGACACAGGATATAAAACTGCTTGCTTCACACTCCTTACTTTTCTTGTGGTATCAGAAAGAGTCACTACATAGAAGAAACTTTACATGAATCCTACATGTAGAAGGACATAATGACATATGAAAAGAGGGTTAACCCCCCCCAAAGAATTATTTATAGGTATCATTTAAACCCATATTTCAGCTTCTAAATAAGCAACCAGTGGTATTTAGGATTTCTTACCAGCTCTGAACTCAGTGATTACTTCAGAGATAGAATCCAGCTTGGCTGCATTCAAGACAAATGTCCTACACACTGTACTGTCACTCCAGCCTAAACTACACTTTAGCTAAAGTGTAGTTTTTATTTTAAATTTAAAAATATTTGGAACATCCTATCTGAAATATTTCAAAATATCTTAATCTTCAAATATTATAAATATGATAAAATGCATAATTTATATTTTTGTATTATACTTTTCTGTACCACAATGGTCTAAGTGAGAAGCTAACTCTGAGATTGAAGAACAAAAAAGGAAGACACTTTTGGGCTCTTACGTGTTATTTTTCTTTTCTTCTTCTTCTTCTTCTTCTTATTTAATCACTGTAAGATTCAGTTACAAAAATTTCATGTTTGAGTTTCAGCCATACAGTGATCAAGCACCCATCCCTCCACCTGTGCACATTCTCCACCACCAATGTTCCCACTATACCCCCACTTTCCAACCCTCCTCCTGTCTCTATGGCAGACAATTTCCCCATACTCTCTTTATCTACTTTTGGGCATTATGGATTGCAATATAGAAAGGCTATCATGTTTGGTACTTTATCTTTCAGCACACATCTCCCATCCTGAATAATTCCTCCAATCATCATTGACTTAATGATCCCTTCTCTATTCCAGCTGCCTTCCCCCCACCCCCAGCTCATGAGAAAGGCTTTCAATTATGGAGCAATATTCCTGGCCCTTGTGTCTACTGTCTTTGGGTGTCAGTATAATATTATGTTATTTTAAGGTTATTAATTTTTAAGACTTCACCCAGTTTTCTAGATGAAATAAGCCTTTATAACCGTGGTAACATTGGTAGGGTTGGTTTTATTTCTTGTAACCTCTTGCCTGTATCTCAATCTCTACTGTCTTTCATAGTTGAATCACACTTTTCATTTCCTGGACAGTATCAGCTTGTGCTTAACATGGCTACAAAGATGCACTGGGTCCTACTTTTTTTCACATGGGTTCATGCAGGATTCTATTCTATTGTTTCATGAGGGCAGAAATATTATAATATAAGGAATTAGCAACATAATGGTAACTCTTCTAAACCAATTTATGTAGACAAATCATGTTCATCAGGCCTTATGATCATATTGATTTAAAAGATGGGGTTGCTGTACTTCCAGAAGTCCGGGCAGCCATACCCACATGCCACCATCTAAGCTCATCTACCAGCCCTGTTCCAGAGATTCATAATTAAATCATCAAAGAGATCAGCTAGCCACAAAAACTTCTCAGATGCACCAGTCCTGGCTGAGACCTCCAGGCATACTCTGTAGGGGCAAGCCAAACCCCCGCCCTACCAAAGCCCTAGCAGCCATACTCACATCCCAACAGCTGCTGTGTCTCCTCAGGCTGGTCTCCATTGCCTCATGACTGAGCTCCACAGAGATGCCAACCTGCTGAAAATTTCAGGTACACCAGGGGGTTTTTTGGCTGAAAACTCCACGTCTTCTCAGGGTAACATCTCCCCACCTCCAGTACTTCTGGATGCCCCAACAGCTACACCCATGTTCCACCACCACTGTCATGCAAGCCCATTGCCCAGTTAAATATTATGGTTTTTTTTGTATTTGACTATATTTACGGCTCCACAGCATCTCCGAACTTTGCAGAACTAATATCCCAGTAGGAACATACCAGATTGGATAGGAATGTAATGTAGAAACCAACTAAGGTCAACCAACAAAAATTAACACAGAAGAATTTACTAGCAACAAGATCTTAGTAAACCCTCAGACAAGAACTTAATGTCACCATGGTGAGATATAACAATTTTTACAAATGTTCTTTTACTGAACTATTTTTTGATCATTCCATTAGTCATTTAGTATAGCATACAATATAAAATAAATTATTGTGGGCCTGCTGCAGGGGCAGGCTTGAGGAGTGGTTGGGAAAATGGGAACAGTGGTGGAGAGAAAGTGACAGTGGTTGTGGGATTGGGGTTGGAATATTGAATAACTGGTACAAGTAATCATGAACAGCTTTGTCAACCATAGTATTTAAATGAGTGAAGACTTAAAATAAAAAATTAAAAATATGATTACTCTGTTTCACCTATTCAGAATTTAGAAAAAAATTGCTTTATAACAGACTGTAGGTAGAAGAGTGATCTGGAAGGATCTTGGAATTGATGAACCAGCCAGTCAATTCCTAATTACAAAAGGGACAACTACCATTCATTTCATATAATATTCATTTTAAATTAGAAATTTATGTCTTATTCTATTAAAACTTTTGGGCATAGTGATTTTCCTGATTGATATTTTATATTCTATGCCAGAGTTTTTTTTTATTTTTTTAAATTTTATTGAATCACTGTGAGATAGTTACAAGCTTTCATGTTTGGGTTACAATCACGCAATGATCAAACACCCATCCTTCCACCAGTATTGGTGCACATTCCCCACCACCAATTTTCCCAGTATACTCCCCTTTTCCCACCCACCCCCTTTCTCCATGGCAGACAATATTCCCCATACTCTCTCTCTACTTTTGAGCATTATGGTATGCAATATAGACACTGAGAGGTGATCATGTTTGGTCCATTATCCACCCTCAGCACACACAAGATATATTTTTAAAAATTTTTTTTTATTAGTGAAACACCATGAGGTACAGTTGTAGATTTACAATTTTTTGTGCTTGGGTTTCGATTATACAATGATCAGATACCCATCCTTCCACCAGTGCCCATTTTCCACCACCATGGATAATATCCCTCCCACCCCCATCCCCCCATCCCCCCTGCCTTTGTGGCAGGGCAATCCCCTGTGTTCTCTCTCTCCTTTTGGGTGTTGTGGTCTGCAAAAGAGGCATTGAGTGTCTATGCCAGAGTTTTAATGAGGTTCTGAGGGTTGTTGAATATAGCATCATCATTTATGATAGCTGAGGCAAGAATTTGAATGAATAGCTTTAATTACAAATCTGTAGGAAGATGAACTGAACTCTTCTTTCAATTTTGATTATAACTACTACTGTTTTCTTACTAAAATTAAAGTCAAATATGAGATTGGTGGCTTACTTTTTTGTTGAAAAATGTGTCCAGTGAGACATAGTTTAAAAAAAAAAATCCTGCAGCAACTAAATCTCATTATAAGTGAAATGCTGTTAACTTCACTTCATCAAAGTAACACTTGCCTGTCCAGTTACCTGCATATTTGTGATTGCTGTGTCTAGATTAATTAGATAGATGGGAACATAATTGCTTCATATGTTTTGCTTCCTTTTGGGGGATTTGCTTTGGGGGAAATTCAAGTTGTTTGGGAATTAAAAAGAAAATGATATTTAAAAAAACTCAATAGATTAAAGCAGGGGTCAAAGAGAAGTGTAGAAAAGTTAAGGTGTTTGCCTTGCCTGGAATGCAGCTGACTTGTTCAACCCTGGCACCCAATTGTCTCTCAGTGCAGCCTAGAAGCTTCTAGCACCTCCAGATCTGATCCTCAAGGCTCCCAATCATCTCTGGAGTCACCCAAGCAAAGTGACATCCTTGGATCCTTGCAGTGACTCACCAGTTTGTTGGGCTAACACTGTGAAACATGAGACCAAGAACTACCAGGAGGAGCCCCATTTGGGTCATCATCCTTATTTTCCCTCATTTTCTTCCCTTTCCTCTGCAGCATGCTAAAAAGACTAAGGCCTTTTCTACAGCAACTTTGTGATTGAGCTCAAAATTAGTAAAGTGTTTTCTTCTTTAGAAAGAACCCTATGAACTATTGGCACTGACAATGAAAAAGAAGGAAAACCTGAGTAAAACGAGTCAGAAATGAAATTATTTTCTTGATAGCTATGAATTCAAAAGCAAATGATTTGCTTAAAAAATGAATAGAATCTTACATTTCTTAGGTGATGAGTTAGATGATAGATACAGCTTTGGGTTAAGTTATAGACAAGATGAGTCATTTTGAATCCGATTCTGGCTTGGAAAGAAGAGATCCCTGCCCTGTCATTTTATTGACGGACTTGCCGGCACATGCTTTTCCCCCCAGAAATTGGTCGAAGAAATGCAAGCGCTGCTATTTCCTCCCTCCCTATCCAGTGTTTTCCGTGATAATGGCTTTCTTCTCTCCGAGTTTCCACCTCAGAGAGACCTCACAGATCTAGCTAGACTGTGAACTCAGCTGGAACACACTGCTATTAAAATGACCGAAGAACCCATAAAAGAGATCCTGGGAACCCCAAAGTCCCCAAAGCAGGGGACAATGGAGAAGAACACCAAGAAGGAAGTTGTGATCAACACAGTACCCCTGGTCAGTGAGATTCAGCTAACAGCCGCTACCGGGAGTGCTGAACGCTCCTGCTACCAGTGCCTTAATCCCTTTGCTGTGGTAGTCCGCATCACCGGGACAGTGGTCACCGCTGTGGCTTACAGCTTCAATTCTCATGGCTCCATCATCTCCATCTTTGGCCTGGTTCTTCTGTCCTTGGGGCTCTTTTCATTAGCCTCTAGTGCTATGTGCTGGAAAGTGAGACAAAGGAGCAAGAAAGCCAAGAGACGGGAGAGTCAAACAGCTCTGGTGGCCAATCAGAGAAGTTTGTTTGCCTAAGACTGATTGAGACCAAGTGGGGTGGTGTGGCCTGAAAACCTGCTCTCACTTCCCCAGACAACCCCCACCGGACATACCCAGAATTAATTTGGGGGACAGTGGCCTTAGCCTTGGAACAAGCCAGAGGAATGGGGATGGATGGAAGATGGAAGGGCAGAGATGAAGAATAACCTTTTAATTCTTTCATGACAAACTTAACTATAAGGGCTATTCAAAGACTGGAAGTTAGATTTTTCTCTACATTAACTCTTTTAGGGATTGTGGGAGATGTAGCACATTTGGTTCACCTTGGAAAGTAACAGAGAAAGTATGAAGCTGTATCATAAAAAAATGTTCTGCTGTGAGTCTAAGATGCCTTGGACTTTGCTTACAACTAAGAAATTCTAGAATAATTTCTTTCATTGAGTTGATTCTCTTGTATCTATTTTATTTTTCACAATCAGTAACTCATCACTGGTGGTACTTTTTATTAAAGAACAAACTAATTTTTTATGTTAACATTGGATAGTTTCAGATGATTGTCATGATGAAGCAAAAATGTGGGGTAAGAAGAAAAAAAACAGATAATAGTTATAACGACTTTATGTCATGGGGTTAAATTAATATTAAAATAATCCAGTGTAGCACTTTTCATGATTTTTATATATAAGTTTAATGTATATTTAATTCAAAATAATAAATACTCATTGCTGCTAAAAAAAAAAAGATGAGTCATCTTTGCATATTAAGAAAGTGCTACTTTCAAAACGGTCCTTAAAATATTGACCTCCATTTTGAAGGCACTGAGGATTTGAAGTTGGTTTTAATATTCTGTCTACTTGACACATTTTGGATTTTGTCTGATGTGGGAGAAAAATTTCTAAATAGAATAAATTTTTAAACGTGATTACATTAGATTAGCCAATGAGCACATTACTCATCTCAATCAAGCTTCCAACATTCGAATTCATTAAAATAATAAAAGCTTTTCTTTATCTGCCTCATTATTTTTAATGCAGTTCTGTCACTGAGCTGACTTAATCCCTTTGGTGTTGAAGGCTGTTAGAATTTACCTTCTGAAAGGAGTAAACACACACACACACACACACACACACACACACACACACATATATATATATATATATCCTCTCAAAGTTCTTTTGCACATCTTGATGAAAATTAAAATTCTGTTCTCTTATCAGTGGCCATTGGTATGATGGACGATAACTGACCTTGTGGGTATGACCTGACCTCATTGGGATGGCCTGGCCTGATAGCTTGGCCTGGCCTGGTGGTTGTCAGCCAGGCCAAGTAAATGGTGATGGAATCCTTGAGCCCTAACTTCTCCCTCCTTTGTATTTTCACAGAAGTCTCCTAACCTGTGAATCATTATTTCTTTTTTATTTTTATTTTTTATTTTTATTTTTTGTTTTTTTTTGGGTCATACCTGGCGATGCTCAGAAGTTACTCCTGGCTCATGCATTCAGGAATTACTCCTGGTGGTGACGCCCTACCCGCTGTGCTATCGCTCCAGCCCCGTGACTCATTTTTTACGGGAAATAAGAGCTTTAATTTAGAATTTAGATCAGATCAGATTTTTTCCCTTGTTTTTTTCTCAATCATGGGATAAAAGTCGGAATTCAACAGAAGATATATTATACACTAAAAGTGAAGTTTCTTACCTTTTCTGTTCAGCTTCCGCCCATTTATCTAATTTTCTTTACAAAAACACTTCTTAAGGAGTAGCTTCACCCTCTACTTCCATTTCTTAATTCCCCATTGTTTCTCATACTCACTCCTTCGCCTGCTCATCCCCAGCATTCTGCCCAGACGTCCTGTCAAGGTAACAGGATTGACTCTCTAAAGCCCACTATACTTATCTGATAACCTGCCTTGAGGTATAAAGTTCCCCAGTTCCCTTCAGGAAACCATCCATCACTTGCCCTTGGCTGGTTCATTGTTGCAGGAATTCTGTCATCCCTTCATCCTGATGAGAGAGGAGTGATAGATATGTGATCACTTGGTTTCTGATACAAGTAGAGTGCTGATCCATGTGGCTTATTGGTGTTTTAATTTCAGCTGTCACTAAGTAACCTTTTCTTTGAGATGACCAGAAAGTGCCTGGCTACAGGCTTCCTGCAGAGCAGGCCCTATGCTCCCAGAAGATATTTTGCTACCATCCTCCTTCCATCTTTCCTCTCCCCTCTATTCTTGGCCTCAGACTCGTAGCATAGAATTATAACCACAGAGCACGTTCTGATGTACATTGCTTTCAGCATGTAATGGAGGCATATTCTTCATTGGGGCTGTTGCCCACCTTTTCTCAGCTGTCTCACACTAAATGAGGGCTGCTCCCCTGGCTGTACCTGCAGCTCCTGACAAGAATCCTCTGAGGTATGGCCTTTCTTCTGCAATAAATCATGGACGTTGCTGCTATTCCTGAAGACGAGCCTTTCCTGGCCTGGGAAATTAAGTGAGCAAGATACCCTCCTTTCCCTTAGGGTTTACAAAGGCAAAGTTTGTTTATAGTGAAAAATGTGCCAGACAGCCCCAGCATTCACCTGATTGGTGAACATATGGATTTAGATGGAATCAAAATGAAATATTGTAAATACTTAGGTGCTTCTGTCACTAAGACAAGAAATGAGGGGGAATATAATTATTCTTTAGCAGATTGTCCTCTACCCACACTATCATCCTTGTTTGCTGATTAACAAGAATATGGCTAGAGTCTAACTCAAAATCCACAGAGCACTGTCTGGGGCACTTTATCAGTTTGTTCTTGTGAGAATATGGACATCACCTCAACTTGCACTAGATTAGGAATAATTTGGGGGGGTGGGAGGAATGCTTGAAATTTTAAGTTGCTGCATTCTGTCTTTTCTCTTATTCTCAGCTCCTCTCTTTTCTCAATATATTTTTCTGTCTTACTAATTCTAGGTTCATTTTATGTGGATGAACAGTAGGGGGTCTATATATCTGTTCCATGATTTAGAAATCTCAGCAGATTTCCTCCTGCTTCTCAGTCCAGTTCTTTATACTCAAGTTTTCTGCCTATGTCCTTTCATTCTGTCCTCAAACTCACTCTTGGAAAAGGTATCCTGCCAACCACTTGCAACTTTTTGTGCGTTGGATCTATGAGCTGCCACCAGAAAAAGCCATTTGGGTTTCAAGTCTCTTTCTTAGATGTTGAAGGAAAAGGTTTAAAAGGATTGGCTCTTAATGGGGAATGTGTAGCCTTATTTCTCAACCCCTTGATGTTTGAAATCATCCCAAACTCACTTCCTTCTTCTTGGTACATTTACACTCTTAGTACTCATGTCTGTGATACTGAAATGTCCTGAACTGCTGAATCTGTCTGGAAATTGTGTGTTTTTGCAGAGGTCCAAGTTTGAGATGGTGTAAGCAATTTTGTTATCCTTGTCTTTAGAAATGTCACATTTGTTGATTGTATTTTCCCTGGCCGTGCCTATGGTATGTATCTTGTAGCATGCTGTCTCTTCTTTGCATCACCCAGATATGGGAAGCTCCCTTAGAAGAACATCCTCTCCTTTATTGTTATATCCCCAAGCAAGTAGTACTTTGACTAACATATTGTAAACTCACAAATCCTCATCAATTAGTAGTGATTGAGCCTGGTTTAAGAGATCAGATCTTTCCCAACTAATAGTGGGGTTGCATCCCCAGAAATCTACCCTCAGTTAAAGATATTATAATCTTATAGAAAGTGTCTGGTAGGGCTAGGTCCTCATCTAGGGACCAGGTCATTTGTCCCAGACAGGAAAGAATACAAGTACAAAACACAGATGTTTAGAATAGAAGAGGTTTAGTAAGGAACGGTATAGACTTGAGAATCTGAGTGCAGCACAGTTGAAGAGAATGCATCAATGCTTCAAGACAGTTTGCTCATAGCAGTAATGCACACTTCAGAGTCATAGGGCAGGCATTTGCCATAGAGTAGAGTTTTTCACACCATTTATACAGGTATAGAAATGGAGTAAAGAAATAAGAGGCACAGTGTTCATAATATTTCAGAAAAGATGGAAAGGTTTGAGGGAGTGATTTCTGGTCATAGAAGTGCTACCCAGTGGCTAACCATATGTGGCCACTTCCTGAGGTCACCATGGCAATTGTAAACTGTCATAACATGGGTGAGTATGATTTTTACAGTGTGATTTGCATTTATGTGCAATTGATTTTTCATGCGTGCATAATGAAGCTGAGTGTCATCTGTAGTCACATAGTGTTCCCTGTTGAATTTTTCAACTCTGATGGATCTTAGATTCAAATGAGTCTTGGACTTCATTCCTCTTATCTTTGGAGGTGTTCAGTATCCATCACATGTAATTCCTTTAGCAAAAACATTAATTTCCCAGGCACGGCATATCCTTATGTAAGAGAGCTATAGATGAAAATGAGGATTAATTGAAGGTAGGAGGTATGATATTGACATGTTAAAGAACTGTGTATGACAATTACTAGTCCTTGGATAAAAACAAAGGTATTTCCTGGGAAGGAATTCAGAAATATTGTAATTTTTGAGGTTTGCAGTATCTTCACAAGGAAATATTTGCCCATGAGAGGCAAAGTTTTCTGGTTCCTTCCCCTTCTAAGTAAGTTTCCCACATTTATCCCAGCATTCTGCCGTAACAAGGAGAATATGCCTTTCATACACCTAACCATCCACACATCATCATTTAACCTAGCTAATCTGAAGCCTATCTGAAAGTCATTATATTTTCATTCACCTACAAATGATCGAATGCAAGTTCTGTTTTATAATAGTTGAACATTTTATGTAATTTATCCATGTACTGTAATGAAAAACTAAGTGCATGAATTATAAAGTCAAAATAGGGGCTAGACAGAATCTGGAAAAAACCTGAGTGCCCGAGAACAGATGACTGGTTAAAGAAACTTTGGTACATTTACACAGTGGAGTACTATGTAGCTATTAGAAAAGAAGAAGTCATGAAATTTACATACAAGTGGTACTACATGGAAAGTATCATGTTAAGCGAAATGAGTCAGAAAGAGAGGGATAGACATAGAAAGATTGCATTCATCTGGGGAACATAAATTAACAAAATAGGAGACTAACACCCAAGAACGACCAAGATTAGTACCAGGAATTTTGCTCCATGGCTTGGAAGCCAGCTACACATGCTAGGGTTAAAGGGAGCTCAGATAGAGAAGGGAGCACCAAATATAGGGTGTTGGGAAGATCCTCCCAGGATGGGAGAAGCATGC